TCTATATTTCAAAAGTACACGCCCACATTTGCTAAAAGCTTACTCTGATGCCACTGTTGTAATGGGAATACTAAACACATTTCTAGCCATTATAGACAATATAGCAAAAAAATTTCATTAGTCTTCCAATATTTGAGCACATCAAAATCTTCATTGTCTTCATCATCATCTATTGTTTGTTCATCTAAATAAACATCTATCTCGTTCTTTCCAATGATAGGTTTTGATTCATTTTGATACATTTTAAAATCCTACAACGCATTACATATTAATTATCAAAACGAAACTAGAAAAAATGAAAAAAAAATGAACACTAGGTATAAAATGCTTACCAAAATAATCTTTGATCTCTTAAACTTTTTCCCTTCAATATTGGATTGAGACATCAAGATGGATTCAGTAGGTGATTGGAAAAGAGAAACACTATGGATAGAAAAGTTCTTTACATATTCGTTAAATGACCTCTTGAACTTCTCTAACACTTTCTTTGTTTTTTTCGCATAGGTTAGAGGATCCAATTTATATGTTATAAAATCAACCTTTAGTCATTGGTCAAGAATAACTCCAAAAGATAATCCAATAATGTACTCCTAAACTTTTCTTTCATATTCCAAGTCATATTCTTTAAGGTGACATCTTCATTCAACAAATTATCTTCAATGATAAGCTAATTTTTCTAAATTTGCATAAAATACAAGTTTAAAGTGGGATAAGATGAACAAAATATCATGTTTGTAATCTCAATTCTAAGAATTGACATATTTTCTTTTCCATATTCTATGTCTCAGGAAATGAACAATCAATTTTTATAATTTATATCCACCACTGTAAGAATTTTAAAAGCTTCTTATATTGCACTTTCCAACAGGTTGAATTCAATCTTAGTAAAACGGTTTTACTATTTCACTCCTAAACTTTTTTCGGTCTTTCCGTTTTCAAAATTTAACTACTTTAATTTCTCTCCCTGAACAAATGTTACTTTTTTATAAGTGGTTATGAGAGAAGTCAACTCGTGAAATCAAAATAGTAGATATTACTTAATATGTAAATTCAATTATACAAAGTTAGATAGTCAATAAAAAAATTAACAGAGTCAATTGAAAATATATTTTTTTTACCCAATATACCAATTGTTTTTAATAAAAACTCAATTGAAAACATCTAAATTTATTAAATACTTTAAACTTAATCAAACTTTTTATATAATATAATTTTATTCTCTAAATATTAAATTTAAGGGATTAGAAATAGTTTTAAAACCTCATTTGAGTTCTTAAAATTTAGTGTTTAAAAATTAAAATCACATATTTTTCAATTGTGATGGACTGAAAGAATACTTTCTTTTCCAAATTCGGTAGAGATAAAAACACAATCAAGCTAATACGTTTTTTTAGTCTGTAATATTGTGACATTAGTTAACTACTTAAATGAAATATTAATTGATTATGCCAACCCACACTTAATAGTATTTCTATCAGCATTTGACACTTTCAAAAATATTTTAATATTAATGAAATAATCATTTTTATTTATCTTTAAATGAATATCAGGAATAAAAAATATTAAGTTTAAATGGCTTCAAAGTTCCTAAAATACAACTTGTCTGTTTCGGTCTATTAATTTTTATTACTATTTTGATTCCTTAAATTTTATCCTTTTTTCGTTAGACTTTAGTCAGTTTTTACTTACGTCACTGACACAAAATAAAAAAACATTATGATTCTTCACGATAGATAACATAGCTATCAGTTAGTCACGTCTTAAAAAGTTTTATAAAAGTCTGACAAAGATATTAAAATAATAAAATTTGAAATTTAAAGAATTAAAATGACGGAAAAATCCTCTCTATCCTATAAACCAAAATATAACAACATTAAAAGTGAAATATTTTGTTTCTATTATGGATTTTTTTTTCTATTCTAATTAAAAAAATAATAATTTTCCCTTGCAAAAACTGTCATTACTTTCTCCTCCTGGCACCAAAGATTGTCAGCAGTTATCAAACATTTCTGGGTTGTCAAATCTAAGAATGATGTACGTTTAGACTCCATATGTAAGGTTTCGAAAAAAAAAAAAATTAATTGACGAGCGTCGGTGGAGTCCACGTGGCAAGCGGCGAGCGCGCCACCTCAGAGCGCACATGGACGACAGCGGCGCCCGACATCCACTAATGGACGCCCACTGTCGAACGTGGAGCTGAGTCAGAACCGGTAGTGGAAAGCGTTAGTGAGATACACGTGTCCGCCAGCGAATGGACGTCCGTTCAGCATGAGTCAGATTTCAGAAATGGAATACACGTGTCCGCCAGAGAGAGGACGACCGTCCGGCAGGAGCTGTCAGTGCGCTGGCCAAGTGGGAACGTGCGTCCTGCTGAGTGGGGCGGGAATATTCCCACCCCCTTTACACGCGCCTCTCAGTTTTAATTCTGAGTATTCTCCCTCTTCACCCTCTTTCCTGGATCTCTGAACCTTCTCTCTTCATTTTCCTCTGCACCTTCTCTCTAAGAACCACCGTTATCCTCTTCCGTTTAGCATTCCTGCACCGTTGAAAGACGCTCGGCGTCAAAGATTCCAGAGGAAACGTTCGTCTAGAGAAACTGAACTGGTAAGTTCGTTCTCCCTCTCGGTCGTTCGTCTTACTGATATACGAAACCAGTTTTGTGTACGTACGTTACCCTTCATAGAATTGATTAGATCTGATTTGGTTGGGGCTCGTTCATTGTAGTTTGGTTAACGAGCGTTTATGAGCGTGGGAAAGGAAAACGTAGTGGAGAAGAGTGTGGTGCGTCAGTGGACGTTCGGTCATTTCCAGGTAAGGGAAGCTTAATTAATTTAACTTGGTTTGATGTTGTATGTGTGAACGTTCGTTAATTCCCTGCATGATGTTGAGATATGCTGAATGATGTGAATGATTTCATGAACGTTCGTTGTTAACAGTATGAATATAATGCATGACGTTGTTGTGATTTTGATTACATGAACGTTCGTTATTTTTGGGTGAAGTGAGATATATGAATTTGCATAAGATTGGCCTGTATGAAATATGGAAGTTGACGTTAATATGAACGTATGAAATTATGAGATTTGGATGAGAAATGAACTGGAAGATATATGGTATGAAATGAGAAAATTTCCCCTTTGATAGTATGCGTTCGCTACTGAACGGTCATTGACCGTTCGGTTTTGTTGGCAAAAATCATGGAAATGGGATTCTGTCATCTGGGTAGAATCCTGGTCGAGGACGAGCGTCCTCACACTAAAATTCTTTGCTTGAGCGTTCGGTCAAGTACTGTGTTTGGTATTCTTTGATAAACTCCCTTCTGTTGTATGCATATATGTAATAGTGTATTTTACCGTTCGTAAACACTTCTTCGAAATCAAAGTCTATTATTTTAAGGCTACTAGTGCTCGGTTTCACACTGAGCGTTCGTCCTACTGGTGCTCGGTTCCGAACTGAGCGTTCGTCCTTTAGTGTGCTCGGTTTTATGTTGAGCGCTCGTTCAAATTTGGTGTTCGGTCTCATACCGAACGTTCGTTCGAATTTGGTGTTCGGTCTCATACCGAACGTTCGTTCAAATTGGTGTTCGGTCTCATACCGAACGTTCGTTCGAATTTGGTGTTCGGTCTCATACCGAACGTTCGTTCAAATTTGTGTTCGGTCTCATACCGAACGTTCGTTCTAAACAGGGGCTTCGTCTCAGATTGAGCGCTCGTTCAAAATGGTGCTCGGTCTTATACTGAGCGTTCGTTTTCTAATTCTTAACGATCGTCCTTTTCGTCCAGTCAGCATGGTTCGTCCTCGTTTTCTTGGTGAGGGCAGGACGTTCGGTTTTTGATGGTCATCCTTATAAATGATGAAAATGATTATGGAATGATGAATAATAAATGATGAACAGTATATGAGATGGAAAGAAAGTTGTGATGTTGAACGAGCGTTCCGGGTTGGGACGACTCCTGATTGAGAATTTGAGAATCTGTAAATGTATGACTGTGGGAAGTTAATGCTGGCTGTTCGATCCTGATGTTCCGTGAGTGCTCGTTCTCAAGTAGAGGGCGCACTTCATGCGTGGGAACAGCAGGAGGTCGTCGTCCTTAGAGGTACTTTGGACAGACGTACTAACCTCGGGTGGCAGCTGATGAGGATGCCAGTTACCACACCACCCGGGTGCGCGAACGCCTGTAACTACGCAGAATTCATACAGTCCGGACGGTCGGTCTAGTGTTGAGTCTTATCTTGAACGTACGTTAAATTGTGTTGATGTGTGATGAATTGTTTATTTGAAATTGTATGTTGATGCATGAGTTAAATTAAGTAAGCTTACCCTTTCGTTTTCCTTATGTTGTCCATTGTCCTTGTACGTCCGTCTTGTCATTTCAATGATCATCGGTGTGGATGTGAGCAGATGGAGACGAGCGTTTGGAAGAGGTGCTGAACGAAGAGAACCTGATTGAAGTTGAAGTGAAGACCGAGCAGTGAGACGCTCGGCCAGAAGTTTAAGTGTTTATTGAAGTGGTCGTTCGACCACCTTTTTCCTTTAGTTTTTGTATGTTCGACCGTTCGATAATTTCATGTGTAAACCGTTCGGTCAATTTCCGTTTACGTTCGACTTTATTTGGTAATTCTTGTTGAAGACGTGCGGTGTTGCGCGTCCGTTCTTTTATGTAAGACTGCACTCAAGGACGTTCGTCCTTGAGCGCTCGTTCATTTCTTCATTGTTGTTTTTAGTTGGAAAAACTGTATTGAATTATTATTAAATGTGATTTTCTGATTTTATGGTTTAATACTGTATTTTTGGGATGTCACACCATCAAATAATTACCAAGTACTCTAAAAGTACTTGCTCTTTAACTATCATGAATCCTTTTGCATCTCAATTTTTCATTTAGATGGCATTAGGTTAAATAGAAAAATTAAGCATTTATTTAAAAATAACTAATCACATGAGATGAGCCATTCATAAGCTGGAAAGAAAATTTGTTGATATAAATAGGCATAGCATTATACTCTCACAACATACTTCATTTATACTTGTACCATCTCAATGTTCATATTTCTTTCCCCTCAAAATAGTGACAACAAACTTAGAGGGCTCTGCATGAATTTATTTCATCTGTAAAAATTTATTGATTCATGACATAATGTTGGAGGAACTCTAAAATAAGCAGCATTTAAGCAATGATTGGAATTTTTCTCAGTTTCGAACAGCATAAGCTGAATTCTCGTATTTACCATTCCACCTGTTTGAAGTTAGAGAGAAACTTTTGTTATACAACAGATGAATTTAGTTTAAAAATTGATACGTATTGAACCAAAACTCAAACTCCAACCAACCTGCTTTCCTCACTTTCTGGAATATGCAGCTCCAAATTCTGCTCAAATGGCTGAAAGATCAACTCCAACTTTGCATCTTCTACTTTGTCAAGCGATGAAGGTTCCCACTGAACAAGGTTGTATTTTAGTATTATAAAACACAAACAGAAAGAATGATACTTTTTTGTCAAAATAAATAACAATTTTGGACTTATTTTGCTAGTAGTCATTAAATTTTGAGTTTAAAGTTTATATTTCTCTCTAGCATATAACTAGCATGATAGGAATCTAAATATAAGTTGAAAGTCTACATCGAGTAAAAATAAAAAGTTAAATAATATATTAAGAAAAGAAACTTATTGCTTTAAAGTTTTTGTTTGGAATGTTTCACGATCTTCTAGATGGTTGACTCAAGCTTTACAAGTGGAGACAAGGATGCAAATTTTGGTTTCCCAAAGAATACTTATACTACAGATTTTCATCTATGAATTTGAGAAACAAAAACAAATAACTTAATTTTCCTTACGTATATAATTCATTTTTATTATTAATTATAGACTTTTTCTAAGAATTACCTTATAAACTACTAACTGGCCTTTCTCTAAAGAGTCAAGTTACAGCTTTCAACTATGCTTTTGATTACTAAGATCAACCACGGTGGAAAAAGAAAGAATATAGAAATTAATGAAGAATAAATAGTGCACGTATTGACAGACTAAAGACTTTTACACTGTTGTGAATCACACACTACTATGCATGAAAATTTTGTTAATTTCAATGATATTTTAAAAGTTATACTAAAAGTGATTTATGGATGATTAATCGTGTACTGACAATCCATGTTTACTAAATTTGTTATGAATAACTTTTAATCCCTCTTTAACATGGAAAAATAGGCAATCCCATTAAATATAAAAGGAGCATGATGTTAGGAATAAAAAAGGAAGTCTGAACGGTGGCAAGAAGGAAGGAGAGAAGTAGAGGCCGAACGGTTGCCAGAACAGAGGAAGGAAGGAGGGAAGTAGAGGCCGAACGGTTGCCAGAAGAGAGAAGGGAAGTAAAGGCTGAACGGTAGCCAGAAGGGAGAAGGGAAGTATAGACCAAACGGTATCCGGAAAGGAAGAGGGAAGTAGAGGCCGAGTGGTATAAATAAACTAATACCGAACGGTAAATGAAAGGAGAATGGAATCAAAGGCCGAACGATATGTATACGCTAGTACCGAATGGTATTTAGTAAAAGCAGGTTGGGTTAGCAGAAAGGTTAGGGCGCGAGAATGAGACACTATAAATAGTCTTCCTATAACTCTATTCAAGGAGGTTATTTCATTTTAAGTATAGACTGGGCATATTTGCCATTGGAGGAAGATAGGCTTCCTTGGGAGAGATTACACTTTTAATTTTCTATACTTTACAGAATCAATAATATATACATACATACTTCCATTTATGTTGTTCTAGTGTTTGAGTGAGAAGAGAGAATAGATTTAGGTTACTCGCATAAAGTAACCTAACAATTAGTCCGACCATCCGGATCTGTTTCGGAGGGAAGAAGAACAAGCGAGAAGGATCGATAGCGAAGAAGAATGGAGGGGAAATTAAACGTACTTGAAGGAAGAATGGCGGCGACGGACTCGTCAATGGAGGAAGTGAAGGCGGAGGTGCAAGCGATGACTCTCGCGTTCCAACGAGCTTCAAGATGACGCACCAGGAACCAACATAAGAGATCCGAAGAAAGACGTGATTCCGTCAATACTGGACGCGAACAACGACCACCGGAAAACTCGGAGGAGGAATCGAAAGAAAACAGAGGAGAAGTTCGACGCAATTGGAGGAAGCGTGTTGAACTACCCACATTTGAAGGTGCGGATCCCACGGGCTGGGTCGTACAGGCAGAGGAATTCTTCGATCTCCAGAGCATGACGGAGAAGGAGAAGATGAAGCTCGTCTATAGATGCATGGAGGGAGGTTTGGTGAGCTATTTGTTCCGCTTCTGGCGGAAGAAAACCAGGCATCCGACTTGGAAGATGTTCACCGACATTCTGACGTGGAGGTTTGGGTGACTAAATCGAGGCACCGTTTGTGAGGAGCTGGCAGCGGAGCGACAGGAGGAGAGCGACGACAAGGATATCCAAGAGTTTGAAATTCTGGTGTCGCATACATCGGAAAAACCATATCACTCCTCACTCTTTGTCTTTGTCGATCTTGGAGCTAGCATTATAACTGGTGTTGAGGCTGTGGGGGCTACTGAGCGAAGATCAGATCCTTCCTCGGTGATTGATAATCAGTTGGGCCTTGAGTTGACAGTGTCAAACAGTGATTGCCGTCTTTATGACATAGCGATAGAACAAAACAATTCTGCAGATGGACCATTTGATTCCAAAAGGGGCAGTTTTGGTGGGAAAAAAGATTGATGAGGAGATTTTGAGCCATCTTGAGAGGAGGGTTATGGATTGGCAGTTTTCTCATTTGGAGTCTGGTTGTGCTGATGATGCGTATGGGGTTTTTGGGGAGCTCATTGTATGATTAAAGGGAGTTACAGTTCCGTTGTTGAGTTTCTGGGAGAAGGAATTACAATTCCCTTGAACCACGTTGTAACAAATGTGTCATATGGTAGCAAGGAGGCTGGTCAAAGCTATAAAGTTAAAGTTTCTACAACAAATGGCAAGGAGTTCTTTGGTAATTTTGTCCTTGTTACTGTTCTACTTGACTGTTTGAAGGCTGAAACTATACAGTTCTTCCCACCTTTGCCACAGTGGAAATGTTCTTTTGTTCAGCGTTTTTGTTATGGAGCTCTAAATAAAGTGGCTTTGGAATTTCCTAGTGTATTTTGGGAGGAGGTTGTGGACTGCTTTGGAGCAACAGCTGAGGGGAGAAAAAGTAGAGGTCATTGTTTTATGTTCTGGAATGTCAGGAAAGGAGTTAGGGCTCCTGTCCTTATTGCAGTAGGGGTGGGTAAAGTAGCCATAGATGGTCAAAACTGGAGCTCTTCTGATCATGTTAAACAGGCATTGAAGGTTCCCCTAAAATTTTTTGAGTAGGACTCAGTTCCAGATACTATTGCCTATGTGGTGATTGATTGGGTAACCTGCCAAGAGCACACAGATACTGTTGGGGGTGCAATGATGAGTGGACTGCGAGAGTCTCTTCGCATAATTGACATATTGAGCACTAGAAATGATTATATTGTTGAGGTGGAGGCATTGGAAGCTGCATGGGAATAGTTAGACACTGAAAAGGATGAAGGGAAGGATAAAATAAAGAGACTTGATGTAGTGAGGTTATCTAAATCTTCCCTTGCTAAGTCCATTTATGAGATGCTGGAAGTTAATAGAATCCAGGAAGACTGGAAGAAAGTGGAGGAAGATTTGCCACCACCCAAGCCTCCAGACCTGAATTGGAGGGCGCCACCTGGGAAGAGGAGCATTACGTCAAATAACAGTTCCCTAACTTCAACCTTGAGGACAAGGTTGATTTTGAGGGGTAGAGTAATGTTAGGAATAAAAGAGGAAGACCGAACGGTAGCAAGAAGGAAGGAGGGAAGTAGAGGCCGAACGGTTGCCAGAAGAGAGGAGGGAAGTAGAGGTCGAACGATAGCCAAAAGGGAGAAGGGAAGTAGATGCCGAACAGTATCCAGAAGGGAGAAGGGAAGTATAGACCAAACGGTATCCAAAAGGGAGGAGGGAAGTAGAGGCCGAGTGGTATAAATAAACTAATACCGAACGGTAAATGAAAGGAGGATGGGATCAAAGGCCGAACGATATGTATACACTAGTACCGAACGGTATTTAGAAGAAGCAGCTTGAGTTAGCAGAAAGGTTAGGGCGCGAGAATGACACACTATAAATAGTCTTCCTATAACTCTGTTCAAGGAGGTTATTTCATTTTGAGTATAAACTGGGCATATTTTTCCTTGGAGGAAGATAGGCTTCCTTGGGGGAGATTACACTTGTAATTTTCTTTACTTTACAGAATCAATAATACATACATACTTTCATTTATGTTGTTCTAGTGTTTGAGTGAGAAGAGAGCATAGATTTAGGTTACTCGCATAANAGGGAGAAGGGAAGTATAGACCAAACGGTATCCAAAAGGGAGGAGGGAAGTAGAGGCCGAGTGGTATAAATAAACTAATACCGAAGGAGGGAAGTAGAGGCCGAGTGGTATAAATAAACTAATACCGAACGGTAAATGAAAGGAGGATGAGATCAAAGGCCGAACGATATGTATACACTAGTACCGAACGGTATTTAGAAGAAGCAGCTTGAGTTAGCAGAAAGGTTAGGGCGCGAGAATGACACACTATAAATAGTCTTCCTATAACTCTGTTCAAGGAGGTTATTTCATTTTGAGTATAAACTGGGCATATTTTCCCGTGGAGGAAGATAGGCTTCCTTGGGGGAGATTACACTTGTAATTTTCTTTACTTTACAGAATCAATAATACATACATACTTTCATTTATGTTGTTCTAGTGTTTGAGTGAGAAGAGAGCATAGATTTAGGTTACTCGCATAAAGTAACCTAACACATGCATGCATGTTTTGGAAGAGAAGAGAAAACAGGGAGAGAATACCTTTGGAGAATTATCCTTGTCAATGGTAAGAGCTCTAATACCCTTTTTTCATCAAAATGCACAAAAACTTTGCTTCAGAATTTAGTAGGGAACAAGTTCAAAATCTTTCAAAAAAATTGAGCACTGTTCTGTCAAAATTTGTTATATCAAACAACACCAGTTACCTCATACATATCCTCAGATATTGTAGCTCGAAGTATGTTCATTGTTAATCTGAAATCCCTTTTTAAGCATTGAGCTAGTGTTTGACTTCTCCCTTCACGAACCTGTACATATCCAGGACAATATATATAGAAGCATGAAATTTGAGGAACAGCATGTCATTATTTCTTTGCAAGGCCAACTTGATTATGTATTTACCATTTCTGTTCTTTGTCCTGATTTAATTTATTATAGATTTGAAAGAGAGTAGTTTTGAAAGCCTCGAAGGGAAAATTGTTGCCTTAGGATGTTTTGCATTTTATCAAGTCAGAAGAAAATTTTCTAAGGAGAAGTTTAGGAAAAAATAAATAATGCTACACTGTCATATGAGATACCATATAATGTTTGGTTCCTTTTACCTCAAGTTTTATCTACCATTCAATGATTTGAAGAACTCAATATCTAGAATCCAGTCTAAGATCTTACAAAATTCATATAAGAAATCCTTACCGATCTTAGTGTTATTCTCAACGCAGTTGGTGATGATCTTTTCATTCCTTTCACAACTGCACCTATCCATCTATTTCCTTCTTTGTCTGCTTCAACTTCCTTCAGATTGAATTGCATAGTCATATATAACAGCCTAGAAAGGACTCAACATTAAATTAGAAAATAATATTCCTGTGAAAATACTAAGAAACTTACCAATGATTTTATAATTTCTTCTACAGAATCCTTTGAGAAGCACTCATTAATTGTTGACTGCCTACAAATCTCGAAAGTTTACTACTGTCTTGAGCATAGTGCAATTTGCTGGTAACAGCGAGAATAAAACCAGCTAGAAAATAAATAACAGATCATTCATGAAAAAGTGATTACTTGTTTAAGATACTCTCTTCATCAAGATTAACTTCTGAAGAAAATTCTTCAAGTACTGATCTTATGGCATTCTCATCACCAGAATTCAGGCTAATCAAGCGCTTCTCTAGCTCACCAATTTTCTGGTACACCAAAAATGTAAGCATCATCTTTCAAACTAACACTTAAAACACCTACTATACGTAACAAACAACAAGTGACTTGAACGCTGATAAGCACTTTTAAGTGAAACATCCTGGTGCTTCTTTTACTAATTTTTCTCCATTTTCATACAAATTTGACAAGACATTATTTCAATGGACCAATGTCCTAAGAGCAGAAAACAGAAAATGTAAACAAATCTATTAGAGCTGCTTACCATAGGCCTAAAACAAGATGAGGTTTTCTTTATAAACTGATAAGCATATTTGTTATAATTGAAATTCATTTTATTGAATTTTTCATTTTTGGATGAAACTTTATGAAAAGAGAAAGTCATAGATTGCAGAGACTAAAGATAATCAAACCTCAGAAAGGACAAAATGAGTTGCCAGTTCAGCAGCAATTATTTCCTTCCCACTCAACCTTCCTCCAGTAAGTGCCAAGAATTCACCTGTAACATTACAGTAATTTCTTCATTTTTATAATCATTTATGCTAAGTATAAAATTTTAAAGACACTTCTACTGTTATAGAAGAATGAACAGCTAGGAACATAGAAGTGTAAGGGGAAATTTTAAAAACAGTAAAAGGAATTCTTTGAGAGAGATTGTGGTTACCCAAATGCCCTGGTAAACGAGAGTGATAGTATGAGAAGCCACAATCAGTATGAAAACCAAAACTTGCTTCAGGAGTGGCAAAAACCTATCCGAGCATTGTTAGAACACACCACAAAAAAAGTTAAGGATGAGGATTTGACAATTATGCCCCAAAAGATTTAGAAAATAAGTTTAATTTAGATGTATAGTGAGCACAATGATTTTTACTCTGTCCACAATCAAAAATCACTTTAAATATAACAATTTAAAAGTACTTATTATAAATACTCACGGTCTTTTCTGTTACAACTGAAAACTTCAAAGGGACCATTAAAGCTGCACCTCCACCCATTGAAATTCCATGAACAAGAGCAACCTGTTATAATATAATAAAACCATTCAAGAAAACATGAAATTTCACTAAATTTTCAGAAGTACGTTTTGCCTTAAAATATTCACGAGAGTGGAATCAAGCTCTAAATCAAACCTGGGTTTTCTTGTAGGTACTAATGTGGTAGCATAACCAGTAAAATCTATAGACAACTTCAAGACAGGCATCCTCTGTGAAGAAGAAATGAATTACTCTTGAAGTGAGATTATTGGGTGAATTCTCCAAGATATCATCTACTATGAATTTCACTGAATAATAACTTCTTAAATAGAGTGTGTTTCACAGTGTATTGCTAGGTATTTTCCTATAGTAAAAAGGAATGTGAACTTGTTTTCTCTAAAATACTACTGAGAAAGAATCATTTACTTGTTTTTCTGCCATCATAGAACACTCTCAGATCCCCTCCAGCACAAAAAGCTCGACCAGCTCCCTGGAAGAACAATAGCACAGCGATTAAGTGTGAAGGTTCAGTTTATGACTAAATCTTCTTTTGGAACCAAAATAGTAAAATAATAGATTTTAATTTTGATACTAAGCTATCTATATTACCAATCAATTAGATATGTTCTTTAAGAATAATTATTACAAAAGTCATCAAATTAATAATACAGATAACGCATGATTATACATTAAATTGAACAAATAAATAACAAGTAAAACATCAACCTTTATGATAACTAGCTCTGCATTTTCATCCATCTCCCACTTTTCCAAATATGTTGCTAGCAGAGAAACCTGAAACCATTTCAGCAATTTTCATCTTTTCTTCCAAGCTAATAATATTGTTGCAGCAATAAATGAAGGAAATTTTTTGAAAGTTGAGCTAACTGGATCTACCAGTTCAGGTGAGATGGCATTCAACTGTTTCGGCCTGTTCAAAGTGACCACTCTTACATGATCTATCTCCTTTCCAACAACAACCTTAACATCAAAACCAACAACAACAATGTATTATTCTTTACCACCTTATCTTATTTTAACAGAAGTTGCAGAAACCCATTTTTGGCGGTAGGTAGCAATTACAAACACAGATTTTCTTTTCTACCGAAAAAGCACCAGCATGTCAAAAGAGAATGAAACTGATCCATCAAAAACAAAAATAAAAAACAAAGATTGGAAGCATGATTCTGGGCCTACCTGTTCATCTGGCACTGCAGAATTTGGTGCCATTGAGGTGAATACTGCACAATCAAACCTGAAATGACATGTTTAATCAAGTGAACAAATTTTATACACAAAAAAAAAAAAGACATTAAATTATAATATAGTAAAAGAAATAGAGTGAGTGAATCTAAAACTAACAAGTCAAAGTTTACCCGAGTTAAGGCTGGGTATGAAGTAGGAAAGTTAGATTGAACAAACGTAAATGAAGGAGCAGGATGATATGGACACCAAATTTGAATGATTATTTCTTGGAATAAATTAGGGGAAATTGTTTTTCATTACATTTATTTTTAAATAAGTAAAAAAGTTATATTTTTTCTTTTTTGTTCCTTTAAGAAAATAAATGAAGAAAAAAATGTACTCCTTTTTAATTCTAATGATTTAAGTAACATATTTTTTGTATTTTTATTTATTTAAATGATTATTTTCTATCTATTTCAGTTGCTTTGGCCAGTGCCTTTCAAGAAATTAGGAAGAAACATGTCATGTCTCACTATACATGTTTAAGACTTAAATGATACCAACTACTAAATATTCATTTATCCTATTATATGCATACATTTCATTTTTAATTTTTCCTTTAACTGATGATTTTTTATAAGTAAAATAATTATTTTACATATTTTATTTTTTAAGTGGTCTTTTTTTAATTTATTTTTTCTTTTCAATTTAACCATTTTTTAATTTATCCACTTTTAAATTAAAATAATTATTTATAATGTAAAATTTATCTAAAAATAAATAAAAACTAATACTAATAAAATTGTAAAAATGATTTATATTTGTAACATCCCAATTTAGTAATATGAAACTACTAAAATGAACATTACATAGATAATGATACAACAAACTATAGATTTGCGAAGAATAAAATTATTCACGTGGAGGACAAAAAGCACAACCTACACTTCAAACTTCTCATCTAACTTCTCGTTTAGCCAATTGAAAAGATTGCATCACTAAGCTCACACCATTAAGGTGATCATCGCAAAAGAGGAAAAAATACACAAATAGACAAACACAGAAGCAAGGGTGAGCTAGATATACAAAGATCATACTATTACAATAACACACAACATTCATGTTTAATTCAAGTAAACTAGATCACATATCATAACATGTTATACTTTAAACTTGACTCGTCCGGACTTAGAATGATTGTCGAGCTATGGTAGGTTGTGCACTCGTGCTGGCTTCTACTACTTTGCAAAGCCATTGTCAATGGGTTTCACCCTACCACACTCACGAGGTTAGTCCGTTATCACTCACATTGGGTCATACTGAAAGCAGCCAAGACTAGGACCTCCTGCTACTCCTCACGACATGGATCAATCCTCTCTACTTGAGAATGAAAGACCATTGGAGTTTCAGGATAACCCCTAAGACTAAGCTCCTGCATTCATTCTAAACTTACTAAGGGCACCACCATGGATCCTCTCCTTGAGGATCATGGAATTATGTCCATAACATAGGGCACCACCATGTAACCTCCCTTTGAGATCCATGAAATTACGTCCACCAACCATACTGTCACTTTGAAACTTAACTCAAGACATGAACAACCAAATATCATAATACTATCACATTGAATCCAAACATATAACCTCACTGATCATACACTATCATA